CTCAACTTCTTTGGTCGATCCTCCCTTCCTCCTTCCCCAATCATTCCGCCCCCCGCGCTGTTCTCAATTTTCTTCCAATCTCCTGCCGCTTTTTTTTCTTTTTTTTCCCATTTTTCATATCCCGCCTACTTCCGAATCCATTTGTGCGCTCCCTCCTCCTCGATCCAACCTCCCCCTTCCGTAGTCACATCCTCACTCACATCCGCGCTCTCTTCCTTGCGTCCGCACCTGCAGACCCTCTGCGAACGAGTCTTCAACCCCTTCTCCCTTGGCGTAATCGCACCTCGCTTTGCCCGGTCGTCCCTTCCCTGTTCTTGGCAGCGGCTAGGGGGGCGTGTACCTGGCAGGGCGCCTTGTCCTGGTACATTCCTGCCGCGGCCAGTATTCTAGCCCTCTCGTACCCGAAACGATGCGATCATGGCGCGTTCTGACCATTCGCATCCCGATCGTTCTTGGAGCGATCCTTGTATTTGGCCAGCATTCCCCCCTCCTTCTTCCCCACTTAATTTTTGGCACGACTAGCCAGTTCATCTCCCTCTCTTTCGTCAGCACCCATCCAGCTCTCGGAGTGGCCCGGCCCCGCCTTCGGGAGACAGTTATCAAGAATGATTTCTTGGCAGTTAACTGCTAACCGTCCTGATCCTTCCCTGCTTTCCCCTGACCCTCGTTCAAAGCTATCATCTTGCCTAATCTCTCCCCCCCTTGCTCCCCTCATCATTGCGATGCCACTCGTCTTCAGCCACCCTGGCTCTATCCGTGGGTGGGGCAACGATCCCAGGTTGTGGCTTCCCCGGTATCGCTCACGTACATTTTACTAGAGTGGCAACGCGATCAGCCCCAATATCCTGCTGGCCTCTCCGGATTGTCTCGCACTGGGCTAATCAACTCGGTCTCCTTGGTAAGCCGTGTCATCTTTACGAAACGATCGCTACCGGCGTCCTTTGGCCCTCGCATATCCCACCTTCCGGTGTCGTAGATCCACATCGAGACGAGCTCGCAGGCTGATATGTGTGTCCGCGGCAACCCAACTGCTGCTCATAGCCACTCCCCGGGCTCTTCTGTCTCTGGTTTGTACGTCTTGCTCCAAAATCTGCCATACTCCCCCCCCCCGCCCCCTGATTACAGCCTAAAAAAAAAACTCCCATATCTTCAGTCCACACGACCCCGCTCGCGGCAGCTGCCCTGGGCATCTTCCCTGCTCGTCCGAAGGTCCGTATGGGCCCTAAGACCCCCGGGACTTCACCCAGACCACCCCAGTCACAAGCACACAAAAAAAACACATGCAAAAGTCGAACAATACGTGCAATTTCTTGTTGTGTTTCTTTGAAGAAGAGCACTCGGCTGGTAGACAGCCGCCCGACACCGTCACGTCTACTGCTACTGGGTGCAGTACTGGCCTACCTGCTACTTGAGTGTTTTTCTGCTGCTCCAAGTACTGCGGGCCTCTGGCTCCGCCACTTGAGTGTTTTCCCCTGCTGCAACCCTCAATGTCACGGCCACAGGTAAGTACACAGGCCCTACGAGCCTGCCAAACAAGCAAGTACCCTTGCGGGTCACACACACACTCATGGGTCACACACACACTCATGCCGGCAAGCATTCAGACAGGCACGCAGGTCAACAAGCACGCACACATACAGACTTAGAAAACTCAGCAGAATGCGGGAATCTCAGCAAGGCATCCATTCCATCGGCAGAACACAGAAATCAGCAGTGTTCTCAGTCTGTGTTATGGGGGGTCATTACATCTTGAATGTAGTGGTAGTTTGAGCACTCAATGTAATTATACCTGCTATCGGCTCATGTCGGTGAACTTGTCCTAAACCACTAGTACTTATGACCCTTTCTTTGCCGAGCCTAGAAACGCCCAGCGCCAAACAAAAAACAATCCGCGTTTCCTTTTTTGGCTGGTGCGCCTGCAAACCACCACTACCTCTGTACAGAAAGACCTGTGGGCAAACTGCTCCAGGCAGAAAGGAGAAACTGTGGACCAACTGTACAGGGCAGGCCTCAGGGTATGCAGGGCAGTTGCAAAAGACCGTGGTGGTTTAAACCATAACTTAGTTGGTCGCCATATGACTCACTGTAGTAGTTGGTTACCACAGTGTAACTGGTTGGTTACCACACTGTTGTGGTTAATTACCGCACTGTCGTGTTTGGTTAGCACGCTGTTTTGGTTGGTTACCACACTGTTATGGCTAGTTACCACACTATGGTAGGTGGTTACCAAGTTACCACACTGCAGTCATTAGTTACTGAGTTGGTAACAAAGTTACCACACTGTCGTTGGTTACCACACCATGGTAGTTGGTTACCACACTGTGGTAGTTGGTTACCAAGTTACCGCACTGTGAAGTTGGCTAATGAGTTACCAAGTTACCGTACAGTGGTTACAAACTTACCGCACTGTGGTTGGTTAGTGCACTGCGATGGTTGGTTACCACACTGGTAGTGGACTGGGATTTGGGATATTCCATGTCAACAGACAGATAGGGCCAAGTACTCTTCAACAGTATGTGCTCCTTTTTTCTGCCTTGCATGGTTGCATCCCTGCCGACCGCCGACCCCAACCGCCGACCGTATTGCAGCCGACCAGTAGGGCCGACCGGTCGGTGGTCTACCGACCAGTCAGAAAACAACCATCCACTAATTTTTTTTCAGATTTGAGTTGGAAGCTGTACTGCGCTTGCTGAGTACAGCCCAAATCCGCTGAGAAACTTTTGGGAATGGGGGGGTTGGGGGTGGGGTGTGTAGGGGGATATAGGGGGGTATAGGGGTGGTATAGGGG